CAACTTGACAAGCCGATATGCCAGTTCGATGGTCTGCACAATCCATTTGGAAAGTCTCTGGGATCCAATAGGATAACCTTTATCATGTTCCGAGTATTTGATAAAGAGGCAGTTAGATTTGCAGAAGGATTCTGTGCGAGACCTGTAAAAGGCAAGGCAAGGCAACGACAAACGTCGAGAGAGTGAAGCAATCGCTCTATCAGTGTAGACGGAGTAGGGAAGAAAGCTGGTAAGACGATGTCTTGATTAATATGGAAAGGAGACACAACCTTGGGTAAAAACGCCAGATCGGTACTGAGGACGACCTTCTCCTTATGGAAGTTGAGATAAGGAGGATCTATACGGAGTGCACAGAGTTCACTAGCCCTTCTAGCGGACGTGACTGCGACGAGAAAGGCAGTCTTCCAAAACAAGAGGCGTAAGTCAGTAGTTGCCAGGGGCTCGAAAGGAGCTCGAGTGAATGCCTGCAGGACAACAGAGAGGCTCCAAGTAGGAATAACTGCTCTAACTGGTGCTTGCAGGTTCTGTAATCCCTTAAGGAATCGACGTATGAGGGTATGAGAAAACACCAAAGAACCCAGCATCTGGCCACGATAGTGGGAGATTGCGGAGGTATAAACTTTAATAGATGGCGGCTTAAGCCCAGACTGATGTAGTGATAAGAGAAATTGAAGAATATTTTCAGTGGAGGCTGAATAAGCAATGAAGCTATTGGATTCAGCAAAAGATGTAAAGCGCTTCCATTTGGCCGCGTAAGATGAGCAGGTTGCAGGTCTTAGCGCAGACTGGAGAATGAATTGGCTATCAGGATGCAGAGCGCTCGGATTCAATAAGGTGTCTGCTGGTACTGAAGGGGAAGGAGGAGCCATATCAGAACGATGTCGGGCCAGTGTGGAAGCCACTGAATACACCGATATCGAAGGGATCCCGTGGTTTATTGAATGAGCCAGGCTGTCAGACTGAGTGAAAGAAGATTCGGGTGATGAACAGCTCTGTTCTGCTGAGTGATTAGATGAGGTATGAGAGGCAGTCACTGGAACGTGCTGCCAGACAGACGGAGAAGAGTAGGGAACCATGGTTGCCGGGGCCACCAGGGAGTGATGAGGATTCCCTGGGAATTGTCGTAAGTGATTTTGGCAAGGACTCTCATTATAAGTGGAATCAGGGGAAACGCATAAAAGAACATGTTCACCCAGGGGATCATGAGAGCGTCTCCTTTCGAACCCGGTCCAATGCCTGCGCGGGAGCAGAACATCTCGCACACCCTGTTCATGTGAGTGGAGAACAGATCTATGTCTGGAGAGCCCCATGTCTGGAAGAGACGATAACAGGTCTGACGATCTAGTTCCCATTCGTGGGTCGTCGACATCTGTCTGCTGAGTGTGACCGCCTCCTTGTTGTCGGTGATGATGTTCGTCCATCAATTTCAATGAGGACCTTGACATTTAACGGGTTGTGAGTTGTCCATGGTGTTTCCGCAGGGGGCTGGTAAGGCCGATACAGGCATGGAGTGTTCTGCCACATGTCAGGCAGACATGTGTGGGCACCACTGTTGCAACATTTGCAACTCTGGCTTTACGGAGTGCTCGCTTCTCTTGTGTTATGGTTGTCCTTCTGACTTCAGAAGTTTGGCAGCCTTGGTGGATCAGCGTGCGCCATGTTGATTGGTCTTGTGCCAGGGTCTCCCAGGAGGTGGTGTCGATAACCAGGGACTTGAGAGAGGCTTTCAGTGTGTCTTTGTATCGCTTCTTTTGTCCCCCGTGCGATTCCGTTCCTTGAGACAGCTCACCATAGAAGAGCTGTTTGGGGGTGCGGTGGTCTGGCATCCTTGCAACATGGCCTGCCCAGCGCGTCTGGGCTTTCATCAGCAGGGTGTGAAATGATGGCAGGCCTGCTCTGGAGAGGATTTCTGTGCCTTGTCCTGCCACCAGGGCTGGTATTGGTAGGATGGAAGGGACCAAGACCACTTACAGTGAGATCGATTAGGGACTTCCATCCAGCAAGCTGTAACCCTCGACTCATGCATTGTCTTCTTCTTGTGGTTCATCCAGGCACTGAAGAGCCCTGAGCCGTCGAAAGGCATATCCTCAATCTGATGCTTTGCCTCGTCTGGGAAGTTGCAGTTCCGGAGCCAGGCATGGCGACAGAGGGCCACAGCACTGACGAGAGCCCTAGAGTCGCAACTGACATGGTGTCTCACCGTGCAGAGTTGCTGGACTGACACCTGCATCGCCTCTTTGATGAAAATTCAGGCCAGGTCTTTTTGCTGATCTGGAAGTGACCCTGTGATATTTTCTAATTTCTGCATTAGAAAATACTGATATCGAGTCAGCGTAGCCTCATAATTAGAAATACGGAGGCCGAGACCTGTGGCAGTGTAGATGCGGCAAGCCAACATATCGATCTTACACCCTTCCTTATCACGAGGAGTGGTGTGTCCCCTCGACTCGTGGCCTTGAGACGACTCTACTACGATCGAGTTTGGTCTTGGGTGACACAGGAGGAATGGAATATCCTGCTCACGGACTCGGTACATGGACTCGTAACATCGCGAAGTGGGTTGAGGCTGACTGGGATAATTCCATGGTTCCATCATCACCTGGTGAAAAGTGGTGATCAGCGGTGAGATGATGGCGGCAGACTGTTCACCCTTGACAATATTATAGAATTTATCGGTATTGGGATCAAAATGATGCCGGGCTTCAATCTCAAGTGACCTTGTAAGTCTCACCATTAATTCCTCAAAGGTTACATAAGGCTCTTCCGGTGAGCTGGGACCTTGCATAGAGATCACAGTGTCCGGTGAAGGAGAAGCTACTTCGGAGTCCTCCCAGTGAGGCGGAAGGCTGGAGGAGGAATCAACAGGCGAGGTAGGGCACCTGGGCTGAGCTGCTCTGGAAGTCGAAGGAGCGTCTCTCGGGACTGGAGAGAGGGTACGATCGCGTACCAAAGGATAATAGCCGTAGGGTGGATAGTCATCTCATGGCTCACAATGAGTCGGCCTATGGGGCAGTTGCACCCATTCTTCTGAGGGACTGCTGAGAAGGGGCCCTCAGGGAAGGCTCGAGTGATGGCTGAGGAGTAGGCAAGCGAGCCATTGGGGGAGAGTCCCAAATCTCTCCATCAGAGATGGATCCCAACAAGGGAACCTCTTGGTGATCAGGTGAAGACGGGACAGAAGGAGTAACCCGTCTTGGAGACCTGGGTGGGGTCACTTGCATGGCCAACTGAAGAGCCAGTCCAGTTGGTGTCAGTACCAAAGTCGTCGTCGGGATCGACGGAGCGGACGAACCCGAGTCACGATGTCGGGAATGGACAGCCTTCTTAGATTTACGAGCCGTCTTGTCCATCTTGTCCTTCTTAGGCTTCTTATAGCCTGAGGACTTGTCCGATCCACTATGCTTCCTCTTCTCCTTTTGCTTATGTGGAGATGTAGAGGAGCATTGACTCTCCGGCAAAGGGGCACCATCAGCCAATGGGTGGGGCGGAGGTGTAGTGGAAGAGGAGGATGGAGCAGCAGATTTGCTTGCCAGTTGGTCGGATTGGAGCAGGGTTTCATCCCATAAGAGTTTACGCAGATGGTTTTCTCGATTTTTCCTCACCTGCTTAGTAAAGGCCTGGCAATGGCTGCATTTATCAGTCCTGTGTCCTTCTCCGAGACAGAGAAGGCACAGATCGTGTGGATCAGTAGGTGACATCTTAGATCCGCACTGAGAGCACTTGCGGAAAGCCGCACGCTGCGCCATCGAGGAAGAAAAAGGAGAAAATAGCAAGGTAAGAATAAAGAAAGAGGAACTATATTTTTGGTTTTTGGTTTTTTTGGGGGTTTTTTTTTTTTTTGAAAAACAGGAAAGGGGAATGAGAAGAAAACTTCTAACAGGGAAGGTAAAACTTGGAATCGTAACAATCTAAGAGAAATAGTGGTAACTAGATAAACGTGTAGTACAAACTCAGAGATGAAAGGCTCGAGGCACAGCAAATGGGGGCCACAAGACTAAGGAAATGGCGGGCACTCCGCCTTCTGATACTGTAGTGGGGAAGGGTGCAGAGTTCCTGCCAAAACCTTTAAGCTTTGAATCTTTCTGGCCACAGGCACTGTGCAGGCGCAGCACCCATATGTGTGATGCACAGAGGCCATGACGAAGAATGATAGGGATAGCAGTTAGTTAGTTAGTTAGTTAGTAAATATGCTGCCCTATAGCCCTATACCACAAGGGCCTCTCTGGGTGGCTTACAATAAAAACATGGACGACAACAATAAAAACAATAAAATGGAACAATACAATCAACAATATAAGAATCTATTGAATTAAAAATATAAAATCTGATATTCACAGCAGAAGAATGTAGCAAGCAAGCAGCAATAAGTTAACAGAATAAGAGGCAAATTGGCTACTAAAAGCATGTGTTGAATTAAAAAGTCTTTACTTGGCAACAGAAGAATGATGGTGCTAAACACACTTCCTTATGGAAAGCATTCCATAAGTGGGTGCAATCACAGAGAAGGCCCTTCTCCTATCCATTTCCCCCTCATTACATTGGGGGCTCTTGGAGAAGGACCTCCATTGAAGACCTTAGTGGTCTGGTAGGGATATATGGAGACAGGCAGTCCTCAGAAATCCCAGCCCCAAGCCTTTGTCTGTTACTGCCCATACACTGAACTGAGCCCAAACTACAACAGGCAGCCAATGCAACCAACAAAGGACTGGAGTGATCTGCTCTTCTCTGAAGAGCATTGCTCAACATGACTCAGAGACTATACATGAATGTGCAAATCCTTTCTTCATAGCATCAGTTGTGCTTTATGTTGTTTACACTTTTTTCCATTTTTCAGAGATTTCATGGGTATTTTAGTTTGCATGAATTTGGTTTTTTTTTTTTTTTTGAATAGCTTTCCCCTATCATACAAGAAATACAAAGACAGCTTTGAAGGTTATTTTTAACATGACCTTGAATGGTAATATAGCATAGGCTAAATCAGCCTGTCATTTCATACAAACCTTCAATATCTTTCGGCCATCAAATGACTCCCTTTCCTTGAAAGATCTGCCTGCAGTTCTGTTAGTTTGCTCTTCAGCTGCAAAATAAATAAATGAGACCATACTTTGTGTCAATGCCCATAAATGTATTTTTCACACATGGAATACAACTCTACACTCTCTTTTTCGGCAAGCAAGATAATCTGCAAATTATTTCCAGAAGTACGTTATCAAAATACCTAGAGTCATCAATATTATTGTAAAGATTATTCAGGCTGACAGCTCAGTGTAATAGAATCATCCATGGGAAACCAGAGTCTAATAATCAGTGCTCTGTCAAACGTGTTTCAGCAGTAGGGCATGCTCTCATCTCTTGAATTACCAAGTTCAGCATCAACTATCTGCAAAGGGCTAGCCATATTGGTCTGTTGCAGCAAAAAAGTCTTAAAGTCTAACAGATTTATTACAATATTAGCCAGTCTCCCCCAATCGGTTGTCTCCTAGGTCAATGGTTCCCAACCTCTTCTATGCTCCACATCCCTAGAAATTGTTTGATTTATGTTCACACCCCCTGCAAAAGTAATACCACATTTGAAGATGAAGAAATCAAATTTCTAATTTTTGAACACACACAGCACTGCCAATGAACCAATTGAACTAAAAACAGCTGTTCAAAATAAGCTTTTATAGTTATCATTTCAATAACTTTATTATTGGGGTGATTTTTGGCGAAAAACGTCATGATTTGCCAATTTTGGCAAACCACAACGCAGCCTTCCTCTTTGTCTCACCCCATTAAATGCCATCTCAGACCCCCTGGGGGTGTGGTCACCCCAGGTTGGGAACCCCTACCCTAGATGGTTTGAACTATAATGCCCATCATCCCTGGCCATGCTGGCCAAGTCAGATGGGAACTGAAGTTCAAAATGATAAAGGTTCATATACCAGCTCATCTTCCAATTTGATACATGCCTTCAACTGCCAGCAATACCTTACTACAATCTACAAAAGACAAACAGGTCTATATGCAACATAATAAATGACCACAAATCTGTCTTCAGAATGGCAGGAATTAAAAAGCCGCAGGGAAATGCATCCGTCTCCCAAGGTACCCCGCCAAAGACCTTAAGGTGCCCATTCTTTAACAAAGGAACTTCAAAGGCAGATTTGCACCTGAAACTACTGAACGAAAATCCTTCAAGAAATTCAACTCTATCTCCTTTGACGTCAACAAGGTCAAGGTCTTTTTAATCATACAGTATGTTGATCAGCACATAAATTCCTGTTCAATAGCCTAACAAATAGTTGTGCACCTTTGCTCTCCCCAGTGTGTTGGAATTAATGCCAGACAATTTCATGGTCTGACTACACAACTACTCAGTTATTTTTCTATTTGTTAATTTAGTCATTGTCTTTTTTTCTGTAGAAACTTGCATCCAACCTACATTAACCAAATCTTTCATTTTAAATGACAGGAAACATAGATGAAGAAATAACAATCTTGTTTAAGAGCCTATCTTTCTTTTGACATAAGGAGAAGAAGGAATCAAGCAATGCCAAACATGAAGGGTTTGTTGAATGTTTCAATTAAAGATCCCTCCCTCCTTCTAATGCAGATGGCCAAGTCCTGGTGAGGGTCGTGAACCCATTATCTTCTGCCTAAAGGCCACAGAACCATAACAAAGGAGGAACAGCAAACCTAAGAATCATATAGCAATCTCAGGGCAAAGCAGCTGCCATATTTTCTCAAGGAGACCTTAAAGCGAATGCTCACCACTAGGATCTTTCCGAAAGATTGTGTTCATGACAGTGGCATGGAGTTTCACTCTATCCCACTCTTTCATCATGAATCCAGAGGTCACAAACCGATCCATCAGTCTATCTGCTATCAGCTGCAGCCTAGTGGAAGGAAAAGAAAAAATCAGTTATGACAATGTTTTCATTTATGTACTAATGTAGTATAAACCTGAATGTTCATTTCCTTGAGGGGAATGAATGTGGTTTTGGTAACAACCATTGAACATCTTGCTTCATTTCTTCATGGTGGCAAGTTATCAGTAGTGAAAGTTCGAAGGGAGTACAGGGCAAAATCGTTCTGGAGTACACGGCAAAATGCTTCAGCCACTATGCTTTAGTACAGAAATAATGTGTCACTCTTTGGAAGGGACAACACAATTAAAAATGTTTTGCTCCTACTGAAGTTGTTTTAATAGCCCATTAAAAAGAGTTTATCCTGTTCTGTTTACAACACTGCAGTGTAAAAATCAGAAACTTGGGAGAAGATGCTTGCTTAGATAAACAAATGATCGCTGAATGCCAAGTATTGTTTGAGCCATGACTGAACGTGTCATTATTCATCTCCCACTTGATAGGGTTGATACCACAATGTAGCTGGGAGCTGCCAATAGGGGTGGGAAGATCTTTCAACTATGTAAAGATTGTCATATTCTTACCTCTGATTAAAGCAATCTTGTTCCTGTTCCCCAAACCAAAAAATGTACATTTCAGTGTGCATTTTTTAAATGCACAGCTGAAGTGCTCCCTCTCCCTTTATAGAGTAAAGCATGAAAGTGGAATTTTTAAAATATGAACTTTTCAAATTGGGCAGTACGTAATCTTTGCTAGAAAACTGTGTTCTAAATTGTTTTTTGGGTTGTAATTTATTTAGTTTTGGCTTGGCATAATTGAACCCCTTTGGTTAAATCCACAGTATAACTTGACAGCAGCATTCATCCAGTGATCCTTTCCACAGTTAGAAAAAAATGTGTATTACATCGGTATTTGGACATCATTTTGCCTCACTCCATTCAAAGTACAGTTTGATGGAAAGGGAAAGATGGGTGTGGTGGGATCATAATATATGGCAACTCCTTGCCTCTTCAGGTCTGCCTTACTATAACCCACAGGAGCAATGGAATAACAAGTGTTGGTTAAAAAGAGGTAAGGTAGTGCTCCCACCTTACAGCACCTGCCCAGAAATGGGCAGCTGACCAAAACAGCCATAACTATTGAAATCTGCCGTCAGCTTTTGGCTGCCTCTTCCAACAGTGAACCATCAATTACAATGATTTATCGTTTGCTGTGTTCCATCAGTGGAATCAGAAATTAGTTCACTCTGAATATGAACTTGTTCAGTCCAAGAGCTAGTGCCAAAACATATTCTCATTTATATGGAATCTAGAAAAGATAAGCTTCTATATCTTCTTAAAGGCATTAGTATGATACCAATTCTAATTACAGCTCAACATTACTTAAAAGTCAAATTACAAAACCAGGAAGTTTGTGAAGTGTATGAAACTTGACATTGCTAGAACTTAGGAGTGATGTGATGACTCACATTAGAGCTAACCGTAAGCTAAATGTGTGTACGACGGGATAAAGTCCTGCAGCATTTCCATGTTGTTTCTCCCTTCATAGCACCAAGGACAGAGAGCATTCATTAAAATCAAACATTCCTGCCCATTAAAATGAGAAATTGTTGCACAAAAGTAGAATCTTATACAATCTTTTCACCAAGCCTATTTGGAACGTAATTTGCTGGATAGTTCATCAGTTCCCAACTATAAGTTACCATCTTGGCCTTTTAGGTCTTGCTCAGAGACAGAACAGTAATAAGGTTATTCCCCCTCCCCCTCTGGTCACTATTTGCATGACATTGTTTGATGAGCAAATGTTATGGCCTGCTGACTTTGTGCCACCGCTTTGGGATAGCTTCTGGCCACTTTTTGGCCTTACTGATCAAATTGTCTGTTTCCCACTTTCCTCAATTATATTTTACTGATGTATCAGCAATTTTTAGAATTAGACATGGCAAATATATCATTAAAGTTGATACTAAAACAAATTAATAGAATACTTCATGTGAAAATGGTACTTTATTATGTTATAAAATTAATCAAAGAAATGAGACAAATGAAAGTAATATATGAGTTATTGCGATCTTGGAGCTATTGGAGCATAACCTCATCTTATTGTTTCTCTCCCTCCGCCCAGTTTATCTCAAAAACAGAGAGCATTCCCATATCATCACAGTGATAGAGGGAAATTGCAGAATTAGCTATTGAGAACAGAATCAACGTCAGAAAGGACATCCACTTCTCACAATACCATATCTAGGCTGAGAAAGTCTTTTAATGATTGTGTTGAAAGAGATGGTCCATCTTTTGAAATCTACCATCTACTATTATAGCTTCAGCCATAAGATATGTCATCCCAAGATATCTAAATCTTCTTGCTCTTGATACTACCACTGATCAGTTTACACAGTTTCCTCATAATGTACAGGGCCAAAATAAAGAAAAATATGGTCATCTTTAGCAAAGCTGAAGATTAATTTGGGATGATCTAATAAAATCTTATTTAGCTATCAAACTTATATACCACCTTTTTCTTATAAAGAACTCAAATCAACTCACCTCATTCTCCTCCTGTTCTCAATTTTATCCCTACAACAACAACCCTGTGAGGTAAGTTGGGCTGAGAGTCTGTGACTGACCCAAAGTCACCCAGCTGGCACCATGGCTGAGCGGGGACTCGAACCCAGATCGTCTGAGTCCCAGTCCCATGCTCTTAATCACTGCACCACACTGGCACTCTGACATTTCAGATATAAGAAAGAAGCTAAAACGCTCTCTGTCTGTCTGTCTGTCTGTCTATCTCTGGAAACAAAGAACTGAAATCTATGCTTAAACTTTGCTTTCACATATTACAAAGTTTAAGACAAAGTAAATGAACATTTATACAGGCATGGAGGGAACAGTCCTGTGATTCCTAGGCAGCATCTGACGAGCCATAGGATATTTTGGATTCCATGATCTGAGGTCAGAGACAGCTGTCCAACGTCAGAAGGGGGAACTGGAGCTCTGCCTCCTTCCACACCTGCTCACAGTTGGCATGAAAAGAACTGTTCTAGCTGTTTCCCAACTATGGAAACATGACCTCAGAGAAGGGAGCATTCCTGTGGGCAGAGAGTAGAGGAAACCAGCGGGGACAGGATAGAAGCTATCCTTAGGCCTCTCCTGCTTCCTTTCCTCCCTCTCCAAAGTTTTCCACGTTAGATGGACAAAAAAGCTTGTCTAGTTAAAAGGAAGGAAGGAAGAAGAACAAGGAAGTAAAGATCAGCTCTACCATTCCTCCTGCTATACATTGGACATAGTCATAAGCCTCTGAGTTTGGGAGCTTATGTTCACAGAGGTTGCTGCCCATTGGACTATACCCTAGACAAAGAAGAACACATGATTGTGGAATGGTGCAATGTAGCAGTCAGTTTCACAGAAAATTCCTACTAGAGGCAAATTTGTCAACCAAGCCTTTAAATCGAAGTGCATGAGAGTGGAAATTGCTTTTTAGTTTTTGGAAGTACTAAGATTAAATAAAAATGCGCCAGTGGATGCTCTTCAATTATTTCTTTCAGTAACACCCTCATTATCAACCCAAGGGCAAACTTATTACAGCCTTCCCTTTGCTTACAGAGAAACAGAAATATCTTATCTCCTGGATGCCTGGTGGTTAAGTTTTTTTGGTTGAAACAAAAAAGACTGTTTGAGAGACTTTGCAAACATCATTATGTTACTTTTGCCAATTCAAATATAATTTCATAATTTCATGGAATGAAAATATATGCTGAAGACTTACCTGTTGGAGCCATCCTTCATGTGGACTTTTGCATAGAGAACATCCATCATGGCTGGATCATCATTCATGTATTCTATGCCTGCTACTTCTACCAAGAGTGGTTTGCCTCCAGTAATTGTGCTTCATAACAGGAAAAAAAAACATACCAAACTCTACTCATATGTAACATTAGGTGGCAAGTGTATATTTTACAACTTCAGCTGCACTAAACTAAGCCACTGGAATTTCTGTCCTAATGAATGTTTTATAGACTGCTGCTGTTAAAGTGAAGCTTTACTGTTGTTGCTTTTTCAGTGTATTTATATGTTGTTTAATTTTCATTCTGTGTTATTTAGACTATCTGATCCATTGCAAGCTGCTTTGGATGGATACAAATGCTAAGATAATAAATAAATAATAAACATCAAAATTCCAATTCAGTTTCTCACTAGAAGACAAAGTAACTGTTTGTCACTGTTGACTTTTGCAGTTATTCATGCTATTTCTAGGGTTATACCAGCCCTTGCCTTGTGACTTTGTCTATTGTCAACTTCCTTCTCCCCTACCACACCAAATATTCACAGAGGTCCAAGTCAGATGTGATGATAAAGATGTTGTGGTTACAAGAATGAACCTCAGTCATAAAGAGAAGATCAGGAGCTTTTGCTTCCAATTTCAGTTAACCTAAAGGACTGTGTCCAAACATTAAACTATGGTTAATGTTAACTGTTGAAACAAGCTAGCTTCAAATCCAATGGTTTGAAATTGGCTTGTTTCAATTAACCAGGTTAGGAAAAACTCCCTGTGTTTAGCCTACAACGGAATAAAAACCATCCATACTCCTCTGATGGAGGAAAAGGAGAAGGGAGCCTGAGTTTCACTGTGACTCATTACCATATTGTTAGATCCTAACATCTAACTGCTATAAAGTGATCAACAAATGATACAAATCATGGCATAGCACTTAAAATTCTTTAAACTCACCGTAAAACTAATTTAAAACAACCATGCCCAAAATCCCTCTAAAAGAAGAAACGCAAAACAAATTGGTCTTTTGAGCCAACTTGAAGGCCTTAATTGATGAAGTCATAAGTATTCCAGACAGATTAGAATTTCACAAATGCGCGGTGTCATCCAAAAAGCCTTGTCCCTCATGCCTGTTAAACTAATTGCTCTCACTGTTAGACAATACCTCCAATGCTGCAGGAAGGTTCACATGGGTGAAGCTGCTTCTTCAAATCACTTAGGCTTTAAAGAGCAATTATCACCACTTTGAACTGGGCCCAGTAACAAACTAACAACCAGTGCAATATGGGTGTCTCACATTCTGATTGAGGTGCCCCATCAACATCTGGACAGTTACATTTTGTACCACTTGAAGTGTGTACTTAGCAGGTAAGAAAATATGTTCATAGTTGGAAAGCTCATCTGTGGACCACAGATGGGTCTCAACCGCCAAACTAGAAACTGCTGCAACTAGAAAGTTCTTCCAAAAATATTAGAATCATAGCAGTATTTGAGGGGAAGAGGTTGGGAATCTCCCAGGACTGTACTTGCTATGCTCCACTTCAATATGTCTTTTTGCACAATCTTATGGCAACTCCTGCACTACAGAATCATTGATCTATTGTTTCAGGACTGATTTTTCATAACCTCTGTGTGGCATCAATACTTATTGCTTAGGGCTTCTTTAGGAAATGAATCTCAAGACATACAGCCATCCAGGGGAAAAGGAGCTACTTGCCCAAGATTCTGCTAGTGAAAAAATGCTAATATAAGCATATTTTTCACACATTTCTGGGGGTAGGGGATCAATCTTTGTTCATACACGAACACCAGCTACTGTGCGAGAACAAAATTACTATAAATTCTCCAGGAAAACTGCAACTAAACAGATGGCTCTAATTGGTTGATGTTAGGAAAAACATACAATTAGGCCCTTGACTTCTATGTACTTTTTACTTATTCTTAATAGCATGTTGCTGGATTGCTGCAAACTGGTTCATCCTGCTCACTTTTATGTACTCCCATTTGTGGGACTGGGCTCTTTCTTTTGATAGCTGCAGCAGAGTGACCCAATCTACTTCACTTACTCAGCAAAGTCTTCTTTACATCTCTGCAGGAGTTCTTGAGCTTTCTGGATTTCCTGTTCATTCAGAAGCACGAGTGTCCCAATAGTCAGATGGAGTTTTGCTGGATTTTGGAACAGGCTACTGCTGACACCATAGTCCTGTATAAAAAATTTAAAATTACTTTGGGTGACAAAAGCATACATTAGAAATTCTGTAGATATTTATTACTTCTGAAAATCACAAGTCAGGATGATAAAATACAGTATTAAACAGCAATATGAATACACAGCAATAACAACAAACATGAAATATTTTCAATACCATATTTAAATTACATTAAATTGTTTTAGAATATGTATAATTCCCTTCCATTTTCAAAATCTCGCAGTGGTTAACAACAAATAAAACAATGCACCATTATCAAAGCACAACATGTAGGATTCAATTCTGTTCGTCTTTAGACAGAAATAAGTCTTATAACTCCCAACATTCCCAGGCTGCTGAAGGGAGAAAACAAAGTAAGGGAAGAGACCTGCTCATGACAATAACAAGGAGAGGAGCAAAGTCATATAAGCTGCCTTGATTCTTTGTAGGGAAAACTGGCAAGATATAAATATAATAAATATATCAATAAATAAAGTTTGCCGCTTTGCTGCCACTTATACAGTGATGCATATTGTAGTGGCCGTAAAGTACTGCAGATGGCACTGTTTGGAACATTAGCACAGTGAGGGCTTTGCCAATGGTTAAGTGCCCAAGACAGCTGTCCACTGAATGAGAAAGTGCTGTTCGCAATCCAAGGAGAAAGGTTTGGTTAACCTTATCACTAACAGGTTCTGCAGTATAATAGTAACCTCCAGACTTCCAAAATGGATTTCAGTAGTATAGCAAATAACATGTACACTATAGGACTAGGGGGAACACACACACACACACACACACACACACACACACACAGTGACTTAAAACACAGAGCAGCACAAATGCGGGTTTGTTACAAGCAGCTATCCAAGTGGCTGACAGGATTGAAAGCAATAAAAACAGAAAAGCTAAATTAAAGCAATGTGTAAAGACAAGGTACAGAATTGTCTTATGGGGTTTAAGAAATGTACATTTGATTAAAGCATACTTAGAGGCCCCACCTTACTAATGGTTCTCCACCATAAATCCTTTAGACCTGGATGACATTTTAAAATTAACATCACTACGCACATTGAGTTTACACACAGTGCCCCTTTCGAAAAAAGGAAAGGAAAAACTAGCAACATGGTATGCAGTTTATTTATTTATTATTTCAATTTATATGGTGCTACAATAGCCTACAATTGGACTCTGAGTGACTTACAAAACAGGTAGCAAAACACAACATTTTGAAATCTATTAAAATGAAACATTAACCTTAAAATCCAAAAATATAAAGAAACAAAATACAACAAATTAAAACCATTACATAAAATTAAATAAAATTAGAATCAAGATAAAACTATAAGACAAGTATAGAGTCAAGTTAAAATCAAAATCTGACCCTAAAGTAAATTATTAAAATAATGCAGTTATGATTTCCTACAAAGGGAAAGCATTTTCAGCTGTGGCCTTAATTTAAAAAAAATATATAATCAGCCCATTTAAAAGAAAGAACCTTGCTCCAGGGCCTCACACCCTCCTAGGTCAGGGATCTCTCTAAAAATAGATATTCTGAAGAAAAATAGATCTAGGGCTCATAGCAAATTGAGTTATTCCACTAACATAAGCAATTCCTTCAGCAAAACTAAGAGCGGCATGATTCTTCTCCTAACTCCTTCAAAATCTGCTCAGGACAGAAAAACCCTCTGGAGGAGAGGAGAGGAGAGGAGTTTCAGAAGGCTGTCGAAGGGCAGAAACAGAGGGGAAAGGCCTGTCACACTAGTGGGAATGCTTTGAGAAATTATTGAGAAATTGTCACTACCATCACTGCCATACTTCATATGTTTACAGATAAATGTTCACATTTATTTTATTTAATAAATGTAAATCCCACCTTTCAATTAGCATGCTGAAAGCAAGAACAAAACTCCAGATCTCTCTGGAGTTTATTGCTTTTCCTGTTAGTTCTATTCTGCCAACCTGTTACCAAAAACAAACCTGTCCTAACCCCCTTCTGTGTGAAAGCAGATTTAAGGTATATTGCAATGCTAGACTTCGTTCCTATTAACTTTTCTTTAATCTGGATCTGGCACCAGAAGCTATTTAGTCCATAATGAACACCGGGAGCATCAGAAGATGGCGAGACAGCAGGGGGCAGGTTTGATATATTCCTATTGTTGGCAGCAGTTCATTTTAATTTCTGTAATGCTCAGAGATATGACGAGCACAAAATATATTAACACAATAAATAAGCAGCTTTTAGGGAAAGGGCACATTCTATCTAATCCCTTGGAGGAATGGTGGTAGGGAAAGCAGAACCCATGCTATAATTATTATCAGGTTAAGCATCTGACTTTCTCTTCTGGAGCTTTCCAGGAATCAAAGGCATCTTGCATGCCCCAACAGCTTCCAGTCTGGATGCTGCACATCACCAAAAGGAGCTGAACTGTATTTGAGAAGAAAAACATCTATACAGTCCCATTAATAGTAAGCAAGGTTCATTCCTCTAAATTATCTGTAAGTATCACACCTATTGCTCTTTATCTTTATAGAGTTCTAGCATTTTTAATAATACAATCCTAAGCATCTTTATTAATTCTCACTAAGTTCAGTGGGTCTTATTCCACACTAAGTGTATTCAGGTTTGCAGACTTAACCTTATGCAGATTAACCCACATGCCTAATTTGAGCTGACTTTTTCCCAACTAAAAAGCCTACAGCAAAGCCACAACAGGTTGCTCTATCTTTCGAAAGCCTTGTTATTATGTTTAGATGCTTGCTTGCTGTGAGAACCTTAAGCTACTCATTCAAATCTCAGACCTTGGTTTACTGCTCAGCAATCACTTCATTTCCACAGAATTGCATAGATTTTTCCTTTAAAACTGTGCTCAGCTGTATCTTCTAGCCTTGCAGTACTTGAGCCTCCTATCAGTAACAGAAAGAATCAACAAAAAACAAAGACCCAGCAGAATATCAAGTGCCACTCTTAAGACAAAACAAACCCCCCAAACCCCTAATTTTGTGCTTGGCCAAGGACAGTTAACAAAAAATATGGGTCTAAACAAGACTTGGCCACAAGCTGCATGGTAATATTCTGTTTTTTCAGCGTTTGACTGGTGAAATTGATTTGGGTCCCCACATTATGCTAGCCAAGGCTACCATTAATCCTAGGTTGATTCTCACATACCTTCAACAAATCTGCCTTGGTTGCCCAGTACGATGACCTGTGCAGGGAGAGAGACCTGTTGGTTCTCCTGGAACTCGCAGTGGCTTTCGATACCATCGACCATGGTATCCTCCTGGATAGGCTGGTGGGATTGGGAGTAGGAGGCACTGCTTGGCAGTGGTTCTGCTTCTACCTTGATGGCCAATTCCAGAAGGTGGTGCTGGGGGCTTTGGCTCTGCGCCATGGCAACTTTGCTATGGAGTACCGCAGGGTTCCATTTTGTCCCCCTTGCTATTTAATATGTACATGAAACCGCTGGGAGAGGTCATCAGGAGGTTTGGGCTGTGGAGTCATCAGTATGCTGATGACACCCAGCTCTACCTCTCTTTTTGAACCGATCCAGGTGAGGCAGTGGCTGTACTGAACCGGTGCCTGGCCGAGGTAATGGGCTGGATGAGGGCCAATAAACTGAAGCTCAATCCAGATAAGACGGAGGTTCTGTTGGTGGGTGATTCGAGCTCCTGGGCAGGTGACTTGGGCCTTGCCCTGGATGGGGTTGCACTCCCTCTAAAGGACAGGGTCCGCAGCTTGGGAGTGCACCTTGATCTGGAACTCTCCTTGGAAGCTCAAGTGACAGCAGTGGTGAGGAGCGCTTTCCTTCAGCTTTGGCTAATCTATCAGCTGTGTCCCTATCTGGAGGAAGACTGCCTAGCGACAGTGACACACGCATTGGTTACTTACTGGTTGGATTTCTGTAACACGCTTTACGTGGGGCTGCCCTTGAAGACAGTCCGGATACTTCAGATGGCTCAAAATAGAGCTGCCAGGATGCTTTCGGGGACTGGGCGTTATTCTCATATAACCCCAGTCCTCTATCAGCTCCATTGGCTTGCCATCAAAGTCTGGGCTCAATTCAAGGTGCTGGTTATTACCTATAAAGCCCTAAACGGCTTGGGACCAGGATACCTAAAGAAATGCCTTTTTCCCTCTTTGCCCTCCCGCCCCCTGAGATCGGCAACAGAAGCCCTCCTCCGGGAACCCTCTGTGAAAGATGTTAGGAGACAGAGTACCCGGAGGAGGACCTTTTTTGCGGTGGCACCTCGACTATGGAATGCGCTCCCCAGAGAGGTCCACCTGGCACCGTCATTATATGTTTTTCAGCGCCAGGTTAAGACCTTTTTATTTAATCAATATTTTAATATGTTTTAATATCAAATTTTATTACTGTATTTTATTAATTTGCAGCCAGAATGGGTCGTCAATTTATTTATGCTGTTAGCCGTCCAGAGACATTAGTAATTGGATGACATACAAATTTTATAAATAAATAAACAAATAAATAAATTAAAATAAACAAACTGGTTCTGCTTAGGAGTCAGCTTTTAACCATAAATGCATTGGTTATCTTTTGATACAGCAACGGGGATGTAAAAGGAGTCTGAAAAGCTCCAGGGATTCATGTATGTGAGGGTTTCCGTTGTTATCTATGGTTGGGATTACATGGTTGGGATTACACGCACAGGGCCCTGGATTGTGTCTTCTCTGATGATGATGATGATGATGCTTCATGTTGTATATTGGTGCCCAAAGTAACAGAATAGCAACATAATTTGACACTACTATCTAAGCAAAGGATTGCCAAATATTATTTGATAAGCCAGTTGTTGTAATAAAACTGAGCATGTGGCAAAACTGCACAGACAAAATGGACTGGACAGGCAAATAACTAAAGCATTAAATTATAACATAGTAATTAATATATTCTGTCTCTTCTCTGTGTGTTACTTAATGTCACAGTTTTAATTTAGGTGGAGGTTGACTTTGACTCTGAAACATCATAATGAAGAAGCAAATTATTCCCAAATCAAT